GTTTATAACGCCTAATGAAATGTGGAGTAGAAATGTTTCTTACTCTTTCACATTTGATGTAACATCCGAACTCCCAGGTATATTATTTATGTATTGATTTTCGAGATTTACTGACTAACTCGACAAGTTGTGAGCCTAACTCTTCGAGTAGAGTCGATTTGGCCAAGTTGTTTTAATAACCGACTCGACAAGTTTGAGAGCCGACTCACCGAGTTAGCGTTGTGAGGTGAAATCCTAAATCTACGGGGTTGGGGCCTATTTAAGAGAACTTGTGTCCTCATTTTTGCCTCACCAGGCGCCCAACTCCCTTGTGGGAAACCCTAAACGTTTGTTGTGAGCTAAGAGAGTTATAGAGCTAATCTTTGAGTATTCTAGTGCATCTTTTGAGGATAAGAGGAGATTATCCAACAAGGAATGAGGAGAAACTATTGGATGTAGTGCTATATTGTTTAGAGCTTCTGTGGAAGGCAAAAGACCTACACCTTTCTCATCCTATTGGTTAGATCTCATGATTATGAAAGTTAGGGCTTTTACCACCTTTTATTGGGACATTGAGTGCATCGAGTCTACCAAGTGGTCTAGACTTCAGACCTGGACCTTGTGAGGCCCATAGAGTCCAAAGGTCCCAACTTTATTTAGTCATATAAGAGTATTTGTGCTTAAACACCCTTATTAGAGTTGTAGTGGAATTTTGGAGCAAAATGTGTCATGAATGCACGTAAAGATCGAAGCTTTACATGAAATTCAAGACTTGGGAGCCTAGATCTGGAGTATGGAGTGGTAAATCTTCTTTAAAACGTCTGAATGATAATTCATACTGAAGGGACTCGCCGAGTCAACGAGTTGACTCGATGATTCGGCTAGGGTTATCCCCGATACTTCTGGACATAGGTAACTCGGCGAGTTGATGGGAGAAGTCGACAAGTTGAGTTGGGTTTTCATGATCTTCTGAAGGAACATGGGGTACTCGGTGAGTCACACAGATGCACTCGATGAGTCCTATAGATGCACTCAGCGAGTCAGGTCAGCATGGGCAGTTGACTCGAGTGTTGACTTCTTTTGACTTTAGGGTATTGGTCAAGGTAGGGAGAATGGGAACCATGGAGGGGTAAAATGGTCTCTTTCCCATTCCAAGAGTTTGAGAGAGACAATAACCTAGTTTATTGTGAGTCGTGATTTAAGTGTTAATTAGATATTATTATCTTATGTGTTTGGCGGAGGCTAGTTCGAGATTCGTATACGAGATTATTACTTGCTAGCTTACGAGGTGAGTCTTCTCACTATACTTACTTAGAGTGGTAATCTTTGTGTAACTGGAGGGTCTTATGTGATTATATTGAGTATTGTGATATCCTACATTATGTCTTCTTGATTTATGCAGTGTATTATTCTGAGCTTACTAAGTTAGGACCGAAATGTCCACCCGAGTGTGGGAATGGAGGGTCCTGCTGAGATACATCGACCGGAGGGTCTTATTTGATCATAGCCATTAGAGGCTAATGAGATATGTGTGGTATTTTGCAAAACTCACTAAGCTTTGTGCTTACCGTGTTATGTGTTATGTGTTTCAAGTACCTCTCAGGATCACGGGAAGGCATCGGCTTGATAGTACACTCTGGAGCGATGTTATTTTCATGATTTTGGGATAGTGATTTTTAATTGTGAATTTATTGACATTTGAGACACTTGTGGTTTTTGAGAAAATGTAAAATGTGTTCTATTGTCTTTTAAAAAAAATTGTCTGAAAATTTACGGTGTAACATTTGAAATTGGTAGTTGTGATTTTTTTTGGCTAAAACAAAGACCAACTAATACCAATTATATGAAGTGTTTCTTGATAAGAATCTACACTAAATCTTGAATATGTTTTTTGTCAAGGAATATTCCTTGACAAAAAGTATTATATGTAAAGAGGTCAGTGGGAGACTTAAGTTGTCCTGAATAGTTTTAGGAACTAAAAATGAAATAAACCTTTTAGTGATCACTAACACACGACCTGAGGTTTAACAACCATAGTTGTTTGTAGTCAGAATTCATGCTTTTATTGAATGGTGAATATTAGCTCCAAAGAGTACCACGTAATCCACCATAGTGGATTTAACAACAAACATACCATATATTGCAGTTCGTTAAATTGTAAAGAAGACAATGTGACTGAAAGAGATTCATTAGTGACATCTTCGTTAAAGTTCAATCATTGATGTTCTTTTTGGAGGCTCTTGTGACTATAAGGCTGAACTTACCTCGAATATGGATCCTAACTCACACAAGCTCACAAGACACACACTCAGTAGGTACCAACACATTTGATAGTGACTCAAATGTAAAAACATCATAGTCAATGAATCATATCGAAAGATAATCTTATCGATCCATTCCATAAGCCAATGTCAATGGCCAAGTTTGACAGTCAGACAATGTTGAGAGGCATTAGATTTGCAAATGAATTGGCTTAATCACTCTTAGTTTAGTGTGTTTTAAAACTTGAGAACTTAAGCAATATAAGTCATAATCTGATTTGGGGATTATTATGTGGAGATCTTAATCACTCTTAATTTAGATTGTTTTAAACTTGGCCAAGTTCTCCTTTTGCATGTTTGGAACCCACTACCCGATTATTAATTTACTCAAACATCCACAATCGGTGTCATACCCCCAAACAAGAACAACGAAAATGTATGGTGGCGGATGCAGTATACATCATGTACAATATCATAACAGTTGAATATAAATGAAACATAGCAACATAAACATTCATAATTAAGATTTCAAGTATTAAATTGCTTAAAAAGCATGAGACGACGACGCCGGCCCCCAAGAAGGATTGAGTACTTGTCTACTGGTTTCCTGAGAATACAAGTGATTTTGAAAAGCGTCAAAAATTAAGTTGGTGAGTTCATAAGCATTTTGTATGAAAAGGGTTTGTAACTGTTTCGCAAAAAAATGGTTTCGTATATTTTCAGAAACTCTAATATTTTCTTTAATAAGAACTGTAATTGTAAGTAATTCCTTTGTATCTTTTCTTGTAAAGTAGTAATGTATGTTTCCAAAAAAATCCGATATTTTCTTTAATATGAACTGTAATTCTATGTAATTCCTTTGTAACTTTTCTTTGTAAAGTAATAATGTATTTTTCCAGAAAATCTAATATTTTCTTAAAAGTGAACTGTAGTCTAAAACCCTAAGACCAAGATGTAAGTGAATATTGTACTGAAAAATAGTATATAGTTTTATTTCTTTTTATAAAACTAATGAAGTATAAGATTCCCGCACATTTTGCTAATCGCTATTTGATTTATTATAACCATGCTAATATGACTAATATCCCTGAATGACGTTCTTCAGGCGTTGGAGTCGGTAAGACATTTGTCACCCTAGACTTGTCGGTCTAACTATAAAGAAAAGCTGATGTGTGGGGTTGTCAATCCCGTGTAGATCTATACACAACGGTCCCGCTCTCTCTCAAGGAGAGTCTGGTTATAATGCAAGACTTAAGGTGTACGCTAAGTAGATACGGTGAGGAACGTATCACAAGAGCATTAATAGATTTACGCGCACTATAACTCCCTTTTTCTCATAATACTGAATATTATATTTTTGAGTAATTATATGTATCCTCCAAGAATGATCATATGGTTGTGTAGCTGTCAAAATATACTATTTATAGTTTAACTTGTTTTGTTTAAAATATTCATATAATCCTTTATATAAATGTGTATGTGTATTCCTATCTAGTATCAAAATATGAAATTTAAGACGTAATGTTTTTGGGTTGTAACTCACCAAATTTGTAAACGACTTTAATGTAACCATTTTTGCTAGAAAAGCTAACTTTTAGTAAAAGTTTCCAAGAACCATGTAGTTTTACAACTATAAATTTTCTTATGATTTTATAACATAGATTATGATTGTTTTAACAATATATATATATATATATATATATATATATATATATATATAATATATATATATATATATATATATATATCACAAATAATTATACCAAAACTAGTATAAACCATAACTTGCGCAAATAAACTTTTATTTTTAACATAAGGATTAAAACATGTAAAAATTTGTGTGATAAACAAAGTTTTACTTGTATTCCCCCGTCCTCTTAAAATATGGAAAAACCTTGAAAATATGAGGGTATGAACTCATCACCTTAGGTAGTTTACACAATTTTCATTGATTGGTAGCCAGATATGATATACGAAAATATTAAATGTTTCATTTATTGGTAGCTTGATATAATATAAGAAAATATTAAATGTGGTTTTATATGATAATAACCATAATGTACATTATAAATTCTTTAAAAGAGAAAAAATAATAAAAAAATAAAATAAAATCGTCTTCAGTTCTTATTAAATTTTTTTTTAAAAAACAAATAAAAAAATCAATTTTAAAAAAAAAAACTTTGAGTTTATTTTTTGAGTTCAAGATCTAATATAGCATGATAAAAATTTAGTGGCTAAATCAAGTCATTTTACCCTCATTTAGGCCATGTTACCAAAGGGAATCGTCTAACTAAGTGCACGAGGTAAGAAATCAACCAAAATGAACAAAAGTTCAAACTTTACGGTCTAGGTTAACTTAATCAAATGTTTAGTGACGAAGTCAAACTAAATTAAGAAGTTTAATAACTTAATCAAATGTTTAGTGACGAAGTCAAACTAAATTATGAAGTTTAATGGTCATTTGAGTCAAAACACCAATAATATAAATAAAAGAAAAACTAGAAAAGACAAAATATATAACTTAAAGACACTAAAAAACAAAAATTTGAGTAAGGGGTACAATAAAAAAAATGAATGATACATATACACTGGCCATTTAATTATGGGTGTAGATTGTAAACAACAACTTTTACATACACAAAAATTTAATTTGTGCATCAAATATTATAACTTTATAAAACATAAATTTTTATGTATTTATAGAAATCAATTCCTTTTAATTGTATATGCAACTCTCAACACTATCAAAATATTATTATATCGTTAATACAAGTTTAGAAACACAACAAAAAAAAAAAACTCTCAAACATATTAGAGTCGACCAACCCTAGTGTGAGTTTTCACAAGGTGCAAATCTTAACATTTAAGTGTTTCTTGCAAAGTTGTGATGAGTGTTATTTCCTTTCTAAAACATGGAATTTATATAATCGTTAAGAAGAGGAAGGGAATGATTCTCATCATAATTATACATCATAGGTACCATTCTTGCAAGATTCAAACAAGCCTTTATGAATGGTGCTGAAAATTTATTTGGGGCGAGGCACTCCTTATTTAGTTGTTTCCATATGTTTGATATCATTGACATAACATAACCTTTTGCATCTTGAAGCGAACAACCTTCATTTTCTTTCATGTAATATATCACATATGATCCATCATGGCCATCTTGATTCTCATCCTGTTAGTTTATAACAAATGGAAGTTAATTGCTTTGGGACATGATCAGTAAAACATTTATCTTCAAGAAATAGTTAATGAGATAATATTCAAGTCAATTATACATAATTTAATTTTAAGTTATACGTCGATGTAATTTGTATTACCTTAGTACTACCTAGATCATCCCAAAGACGAAGTATTTTTGCTAAACAAAATGTTATTCCTGGATTGTCCTTAATAATTGTAGCACTATCTTCATTAGTAGCACAACCGAGAAGGAAAAACATGTGCACTGTAACTACTTCAACACCAGAACTTACAATCCCGTTCCTCAAGTATTCGTCTGCATTCGGCAAGTGTCCGGAAGCAAACCATTTTGCCTCCACTAGAAACACTTCAAAAAGGTTTATCCACTGCAACAATTCAATTACATTTAAAAGTAGGTTTATATTATTTCTCTTTACTTTCGCTCCATCAATTAGGTATAAATATCATCTTTAGTATTTAGTCACTCTTGTTCAAAAACACTTTTGTATTTGTTTAAAGTTGTATTTTTTTTTTTATATAATTATGAAGTCTTTAAATCAAAATTAGTTTCGGGCTAGATTTGTGCTCCAATTACGAACTATTTTTCAACTCATACAATAAACAATATTCAACATACCGTCCTTTTTAAGTACTCTATGGGGTTGAAGCCATATTTCTTGTAGATTTTGTCACTAATTTCACGTGTTATGTTATATAGAGCCTCGATACACATCCGGCAATCGTTCAAGAGAATTAACATCCCATCTGCAAAGAATTGAAGAAGCAACCTTATAATCAAAATCTATATCAATGGTACCCAACACATAAGTTATATATGTTATTGAAGCTTAACACACGTTTTCACTGTTTTTGGATAATAAATGTACCTAATAACTGCTTCTGTGAAGAGGACGAGTTCATCTAGAGTTCCATAAACATCAAAAATATCATCAATTATAAAGATTAAGGCAATTGGCTTTATGAGCTCCAATCTTTGCTCCGATAAGCTAGGATCATCAAGGCTGGCCATGGGCCATAAGTACCAATTCAATGGTTGACTCCTCGCAAGCTTCAGCTCCTCTGCTAATCCCAACTCCTCCCACCATCTATTTCAGAAGGATAATTCATTTTATAGTAAATTACGATAATGGTCCTTATCCTTTGAGATAATTTGAACGATTGGTCCTACTTATTTTTTTCTTTAATTCCTATCATTTTTATAGTTTGATTTTGTTTGGGATTGCCCTAATCAATATAAAAAGACTAATATGACCTTCCATTTTTTTTAGTATTTATTAAATTTATTTAAAAAAATCAAACTAATAAACGTAAAATGACTAGCATGTGGTTCCTAAATTTCTTCTCTCTTCTTGCAAACGGATTAGGCCATTGCCAACAGAAGACATCCCACGCTTTCTTGATGCTCTCATCTGCCACCACCACCACACACCCTTTTCCTCTTCCCTCATCTCCTTTCACCCGAATCTGCATTACCCTCCGACTTTCTTACCCTAAAAAAATCCCACATCCCACGCTTTCATCGTCGGTGACGATTTCCAATCTAGTGCTTTCTATTGGCTGTGGTGGGAGGCTTTTTCTCTGGAAGTTGGTGTGATGTGTTTTTTATTGGGCGAAGTTAGGGTTTCGTGAGGACAACAGAAGGACAACGAGTGAGAAGATGGCACCTACGTGTACAACCCACAGGGTGCTGTAAATGGAAGAGCGAAGAAGATTATAACGACCTAATGAAGAGATATGGTAACGGTGATCCAACAAAAAACATGGGAATATTGGGTTTTTCATTTTAGTTTTAGGTTGCAGGTGTTGTCAATGAAAAAAAAACAGAGTAGAAGGGGTGGGGTGGAGAAGATCATGGAGGTAGCGTCGGATGGGTGGTGTTGTATGTGTTCAAATAATAAGCTAAACATAGGATTGTTTTTGTTTTTATTAATGTTAGGGTTAGTTTAGTAATTTTAAGTAGCTATAAATAATTGCAGGAAGGAAGTTGTACGTATATGTGTTTGGAATGGGTCCCTTTAAAAAGATTAAAAGTAATATAAAATTAAAAAACAAAAAGGGTTTTAGAAAAGTTAGGAAGGATATACCACTCATTTTGTCGGAGTTATAAAAAAACAAGTTACCTTAAATGACAAGACCATCCGTGTAATTTACTCTTCATTTTAGTATTTAGAAAGAACGCTTCTTTAAAATGATTGTAATTCCATTTATCTAAGCCACGGGTTTCTCATGCCTTTGTGTACATTCATTATGTTGCATGTGTAACAAAATTAACTTTTACCTAGAGATTTGAGTAACTTGTATTCGATGTAGGGCCTGGAGTTTAACCAATTCCATCTCAGCAAGTTGAGCCATGGTGGTCCCCGAGTAATGTTTGATGAATTTGTTGACCATGAAAGTTGATGAGGTTCTCTGATACGGATGTTCTAATGTATTTTTTACCATTATAGCTTCATCTTGGTTAAGAAAAGGCATCATTTCTTTGAGAGCATGGCTACTAAAATCCGCAGCCTCCTCAAGTATATGTTCCCCCTCTATGCTTAGATGTGATGCTTCATATAATGCCATTAATCCCTTTACATCTTCCATCATTTCTTCAAGGAACATTCCATTCTTTTGCTTGAAGCCTGCAAAAACGTTGTCTGAAACAACAGATTTTACTTGTAATTAATAACTTTAACATAATTGACATTATTTGAATCAAAAGTACTAGAAGAAGAAAAAACAAGGATGAGTCCTGTTGAAAGTTAAGTAAGATTTAAGAACGTCCGCTCACCTGCTGGAATATAATAACCTTGTTGTCGAAGGATTCGGAAATTGCAGGAAACCTCATAAAGACTTTGGTCATGATTAGAAACATGGCCATTGAAAATTTTAGTGTAATGCTTTTTCAAGATTGAGTCAATCTCCTCTTTGAAGTGATGGTTGATGCAAAGCTTTTGGAGAGCGTTAACCATGTCCATAGGTTTTAAGGGTTCATCTTGGACTTGCTTTAGAAGATTTCGAACTTCCTGTAAATGTTCGTAATACTTTATGGGTTGTTCCATCTGCAATTTCCATAGCCATGCTTTAGATGGTGACATGGAATATAAAAGAAGTAAAATACCAAAAAAGGAAATACATTGAAGAAGAGCTTAAAGTTTATTTTTCTTGGTTGAGAATCTCGTTTTGTAGGGATTAGAGTTTGCTGGATGTTTGCTTGTGTAAAACTGTTGATCATTGCCATGAGAGATGAGCAGGGGGGGGGGGGGAAGGAGCGAGATTAATATTGATATTGATATGAGAAGCCGCTTGCATTACATATTTATAGCTATCACATATTAGATATTTATTTTCTAACCACACAATACTATAATTTTAATTGACACCCTACTTTACTTTTAAACTACTATTGGACAACGAAATTATAAAATCTTCTAAAAGATTTTTGCTCTTAACTTTAAAAAAAGCTGAATAAGAAAATCATTTCAAGGGGGGGGGGGTCTTGATGATGGATTATGTTGAATAATTGAATGTTTATGTGGATACTTTGGATAGGGCTCTGCTATTGAGAAATAGACAAACTATTTCAACAAAGGAAGAACTTTGAGATCAACTCAAGTCTTAAACACTCAAACTTAACTTGTTTATTTCATTTGGGCGAAGGCCTTATTTATAGGCTCGAAGGAGCCGGTTACAATTATTGTTGCAATCGTTTGATTGCAAAACGACACACATAATTTACAATATAGACCCCTAGACTATGGAGGGTCTTACATCCTACGGACACTATTTTAATACAAACGACAAATACAAATTATTCTTGCCGACATTTACATAATTACAAATGACAAGACAGAATTGTTATCTTCTATAATGTTTCGTTATCTTCAATGATGGGCGAGGGAGGGAGAGAGATTGATAATGATATTGATATGAGAAGCCGCTTGCATTACATATTTATAGCTATCACATATTAGATATTTCTTTTCTAACCATACAAAACTATAATTTTAATTGACACCCTACTTTACTTTTAAACTACTATTGGACAACGAAATTATAAAATCTTCTAAAAGATTTTTGCTCTTAACTTAAAAAAACTGAATAAAAAATCATTTCAAAATTAATATGAGATTAAAATTTTTATTTTTTCAACAAAATTATGAATCCAAATACTATTTCAAAATAGCGATTCAAGAAAAAGTTATCTATATTATGATCAAGTTACTAGATTACCATACACTACAAAAAAATGTCAATTAATGACAACAGTGAAATGGTCACTAACAATAGAAAGAGTCATCACTAAGTGATATAATGACCAAATATATAGTTGTTACTTTTCGTCACTATAGGTCCGTCACAAAATTGATATAGTTACCAAATATATAAGTGGTCGCCGAATAGTGACTACAATATAACCAGTTTCGTCACAAAATCTTGTTACTAATCAGTTAAAGTCGTCACTAATTTATATAATTAGTGACCAAAAAAAGTGGTCACTAAATAAATATTGTTAGAGACCAAAAAAAGTGATCACTATTTAAGAAACTATGAGAAAAGACAATACGCTATAATTGAGTTGCTATAGAATTTTCATAGCTAATGGTAGAAGTAGAATGCTATAAATAACATACCATCAAAAGTATGTCACTATTTCTTACATATAGATATCGGATTTCTACAAAATAAAATACTTTAAAATTAAAAGACATCAAAAAAGAAATAAACATTTTCAAGTGTCTTCATCGTCATCGAATTATGGTGCTTTGAGAATCTTCATGAAGGGATGGACTCTTTTTTTTTTATTTGAAAAAAAAAAGTTAAAGATAAGTGAAATAGTTGCTTCTGCATTGAATGTTAACTATTAATGCCAAAAAAATTGTAAAAATTTAGGTCTTAATGGGGAAACACTCAATTCCCCAAATCTCTTTATAAAGTTGTTTTTAAGTAAAAAAGAACTCTTCTATATACACCTTATCCATTGGTGTGCATGTTTCTTTTTTATTTAACACAAAAAGAACAACTTAATTGAGAAAGTGGGATCAAAGCTCTCAACATTAATATATTTTTTCTTTTTGTTACCTCAAATATTTTTTATACATCATTTCTACTGACAAAACTTAACGGAGGGGAAAAAACATATACAAGGCTTTATTGTCATCATTAAACCATGTTAAATATTTACATAAAAATTCAAAAACATACCTTGAATCTTTCAGTTGCCCATTTATTTAAATTTTTCTCTTGGCATGTCCCAACCTACAAAGGAATTTCTCATTATTATAGTGAATAGTAGCATTGGAAAGTGACTGAACAGATTATGATGTCTATCTGCATTAGAAGCATTGTATGTGTGTGTGTGTGTGCATATATATATATATATATATATACTATTTCTTTTCTGGACAGAATAAACTATCTAAATGAGACCAAATGACCATTCTAACCTTATATTAAAAACAAAAAATCTCATAATATTCATCTTCAGCTTTAGCCAACTTTTTTTAATTAATTAATTAAGCCATTAAGTGCATAACTCATTAAGTGGAAAAAAATAGTAACATACTTACATTTCTTTACCACTAATAAATTGTACTTTTATGTTTTTACCCATACACACGATGTACTTACATTGATTTAATAATATGGCTATAGAAATGCACATTAACTGCTATTATTTGTACAAAAACATAAGTACCTTATGTTGTAAGAGAAACATGTGCATTGCTATTATGGTTTTAACAAAATAAAGTACATTATCTATGTTGCTAAAAAGGGGGTAGTACATTGCTTTTTCTTACCATTATCGGGCATATATAAAAATTCATATGAATAAAGGAAGTCAAGGTTTACTCTATTCAGAATTCTTGGAAACATAAATCACCCGAACCCCATCCAATTTTAACCCGAGAAGTTTCCTAGTAATTTTAAATTTACTGCAAAAAGGGGAAAGACCAAGTAAGAACTTTATTATCATTAGAAATAAAATACTAAATTAATAAATTTGCAAATTATTATCAAGATTACAGTTTAAGGTAATGATTTTTTTTATACTCGTATTCATAATCATTATCCGTTTTAGCATTTGTGAGTTATAAATCATCAAAGCTACAAGCCTACACCCACCTAACCTCATCAACAATTTATGTTAAGTATTTATATAATTATTTTTTGTTGCCTAATAGACTATGAGTTCACTAACTTTTAAAGGAACTATAACACCCAAAAATCTAATGTGTAGAACGAATGATTAAAACTCACTTTTCATAAGAACCCTAAACCCACCCCACCCAACATGATATGTGTTCATAACTGAATATATTAGCAAGCAAAGGAATTTATGTTTAAAACATGTAGAACATACATAAAATAAACTGAGACATCTATGAAGTGGTTATTTAAAACCATAATATGCCAAAAGGGTAAGTCGGTCATTTATATTTGTCACACCCCGAAAACCGAAGGCAGAAACATTTCCGGGGTTGACTCCACATTAAGTATCAAATCCAATGCACATAGTAAGTAAAGTAAAACAACCATTACATTACATAAGAAAAGTTTTACAGTTGTTTGAAAAGTAAAGTTTGTACAGTTGTGATACATAGTATATATATGAACAAAATGAAACGGGTCTTCATGTACTCCGTCTTCTGACAAAAAGGGATCTTCGGGTACCTGTGCTAACGCTGACCTGAGAACACAAGCGGTTTAAAAAAAATCAGCATAACGCTGGTGAGTTCATAAGCGGTTTTTGTTTGTGAAAATGTTTAAGTTTCCTTTCTGTTTCTGAAATGTTACGTATACCAAGAAAATCCCATATTTTCTTAATAGTTGGTTGTCGTTTCACAAATGTAAAGTATAGTATGTTTGTATACTGAAAACATGTCTACTCATGTGAAAATGTATAGTTTGGTTATCCGGCTTGTTAAACTGTTCTGTTTACCTATCGTGTATTCCCAGGAAAGTCCTATACTTTCCTTATTGTATATTACCAATTGTAAAAGATGTAATGTTATCCAGTTTGTTACTTTTTCTAGTTATATAATAGTTACCTAGGAAAGCCCCATGCTTTCCAGCTTGTTGGTTTTCAATGTGAATGATGTAAAAGATGTAAACATGGTTAGATTCCATGTTTTCCCCAGGAAAGTCCCATACTTTCTTGAATGTTGGTTACTGTATGTGGAAGATGTAAAAGATGTAAGAGACGTATAAAGTGGTTCATTATTACTATAAGTAAATCTCTGTTATCCTAATTGCGAGTTCCATAATCATACGATGGACTAAACCTGTGGCAATAAGTAGTCCACACACTTATGAATTTTGTCACCCTTGAACCATTTCGGTTCGACTGTAGCTAGCAGCCAGGCGTGCGGTAGTCGGCCCCGTATAGATCTATACACTCAAGTCACGCTCTCTAAATACCAGATATTCTGGTTACGGGTGCAGTCCTCCACTCGCGTATCTCTGTGGAGTGTTCGCCGAGGACGTGTCTCCAATCATACAGGATTAACAAATTTACTAGTAATAATATGATAGTCCTCCACTCGCGTATATATGTGGAGTGTTACCGAGGACAAAACAGTGTACAAGTATTATATTCATATGTCTAATGTCATGCTTTTAACTGATAAAATGTGGAAAGCCATTTGTGAAATATATGTAAAACAAAAAAGTTTAAAGACCCATTTCACAAATATATGTTACGTAATCTGCATGTTCAAATGGTTATCAGTTGTATTAATCAGTATTAAAAGCATATGGAATATGAAACACACATTTGAAAACATGTTTTGAGTACAAGAATTCCCTTGTACTTTGCTTGTGTTCCCCCCCCCCCCTGAAAACAGTGAAAATAATGAAAAAGGGTAGGGGTATGAACTCACCAGACTTGGGAATGCGATGCTTTCGGACACTAAACGTGGGTTTGGGGTTTGTTTACTCATGATATCCCTATGTAAAATGAAATAATGTCCAGATATATTCAATGAGGGATACAATCACTAATTATATGGAACATTACACTCCGACGAGGTTAAACACCTCAAAACGAGCGTTTGGAGTGACCCGGGTGACATCTACGGACGTGTATTGGTACTAGGGACTTGGGACTTGAGTTTACTCCCCAAGATTAAACATTTTAGGGAGTTTACAGCCACATAACACACACATACATGAGTTTACGGCCGTAAACTCATGTTGGTGTGATTTTGAGTGTTTAATGGCTTGATTGGACTT